CAAGTATGGTCAGTACTCAATCATTTTTGATTGGACACTAGTGAGCAACTAGTGTCATGTGTGTATCTAGTCCTATCTTCGGTGCAGACTGAATTCTATCAGCCTAGCTTTCAATATGGCCACCATGCCACTAGGTGGCTCGCCATCACGGTGTACTGTAAATTGTTGGTATAAGATGGTTGAAGGCAATCAGTGACAGAAAGCCTTGTCTCACATGGGTTTCGTGCTAGTTGGCACTCGGCAGTCAGTCAGCAAGGCGTATCTGCAGTCATCTTGAAAAAATTCATGTCCTCCCCGTTCTGAGATTCAAACCCGCGTCATCCAGTAAGTGCTGCAGTCAGAGATGTTACCAGTGAACTATTCGGGCTGGTGATTGACTTCCTCCTGTAGGGCTGTTTTGGATCTTTTTGATTGGACACTAATCAGTAACTAGTGTAGTGTGTCTAGTCCTAGAGGTCCAAGGCTTCCTGTGGCCGATTGCCTCCAACCATCCAATATCAACAATTTACAGTGCACCGTGATGGCGAGCCACATAGTGGCATGGTGCAAGCTTGACTGATAGAATTCTGTCTGCACTGAAAATCGGACCAGACACATTACACTAGTTACACTGACTAGTGTCCGAACGGAAATAACCAATACAGTCCTACAGGAGGTCAATCACAACCTCAACTAGCTCAGTGGTAACGTCTCTAACTTCAGCCAGCACTTGGTGACGCGGGTTTGAATCTCTGAAGGGGCATGAGTTCCTTCAGTGTTGCAGATATGCCTTTCTGACTGACTGTTGAGTGCCAACTAGCACGAAACCCAGGTGAGACAAGGCTTTCCGTGGCCGATCGCCCCCTACCATCTTATACGAGCAACTCACTCATTTTATTTTTTTTTCCTTCACGTTCCCCAGTGGAACATAGGGGGCTTCAAGCTAGTGGCTTGAAGTTTCTGTAGCAGGGGGGTTTATTTTTACAGGATGGGGTTGCTAGCCTAATGCCCAACCTTTCCTCTTTACCAGCATTATTTCTGACTTAGTGAGGTAAAGGAGTGTGTCGGTGGCCGGGGATCGAACTTTGGGCCATGTACATGGTCGGCGAGCGTCCTAACTGCTGTGCCACCGATGCGTCTGACAAACCTAATTTACACACACGATTGTACATCTAAGTGAATGAATTCACCGAAAAAGACAGTGAATTATCGTTTTATGGTTATCTTCTGTCATGCATGCGTCATTGGCCAGATAGATATCCTTTCGTGGACATCTCTCAGACCTACGTCATTAGCCATGTATATATATATATATATGTCTTAGCGATTTCTAAAAGAATATTTCGTCTGACTTTTAACATTAAGAAGTTAAGGCACCGAGGCATAACTCAACCCCTCCTCTTTTTACAGTTTGTCAACTCGTGCATCTTAACTATTCTTCTTTACTGTTCACTCTTGCTTATTCTTTCCTGGATTACTTAAAAAACACTATGTGATACTTCATAGAACTCTGATGACAGTTAGTCAGTAGGGCGAGCGTTGTCCCGTTGGGTCATATCATTGACATCGTCATTGATAGGCATTTGATGTCATGCAACAAATTTGTAAAAAAAGGAATTTTGTTAGACTATGAGCATCCAGTTTACCCTCAGCTCCAACCTTGTGTCTCCTCAGGTAAAACAAGAAGCCTTTTCAGAAGACTTTATGCACGTACTACGTCTAAATATGAAAATTCCACTTTACCATATTTGGTGGCATGTATTTTATGTGATGGAAATAGTGTCAGGCACGAATTAACTAACTAAGCTTCTTTGCACTACTAAATAAACCATTTCCTCCACCCTTATAACATCAAGCTTTATCGTTATTGTATTTCTTATATTTATAATCCTCTCAAACTTTTATTTATTTATTTTTCATAAGTGTGAACATAATGTGAGCTGTGTTATAACTGTTAATCTTGTCTTTCCCCTCACCATGCTGCTATATCAACAGAACATTAGATTCAATACTCCATAATAACATGCTAAAATTTCCAAACTGAATCGACAATACTGTTTGAAACAAACTCGCTGTTGTTATTATTACTATATATATTATTCTCATTTTGTACTCCGAATATTTTTGACTTCATACCGTAAATGTGAACAAATTCCTCTAACTAATTTTGTTTTAATTTTTAATTTCATTTATATTTTGAGTAAATCAGATGCAATATTGTGACTCCATATTAGTTTGTTTATTAAATGTATCACACAGTGAATGAAACAGTATTGTATACTGGATGACGTTTAGAACACAATTTATTGCGGTTCATAATCATATCAATTGTGGTCACACGACTTTCAGATTTGAGTTTTATAGTTTTCTTTGTCGTCTTCTATTTGTCATATGGGCAGTAGAATTTTCAATATATCTGGGTGGACAGGTGTTGAATCGTCTCTATTACATGTATTTGCCATTGATTCGATAAACAAAGCTGTCGCTGTCATCAATCTCTCCCTATACCCTGTGACATTAGATTTTAAAACTGTCATCCTATCCCATCCAACCGATTGTATGGTTGTGTGTAACTGCATGTAGTGAGTGGCATAGCTGAACTATTTTCTAGATTTCTTATCTTATTTGCGTCAACCAATCTAGATTTAGCTAGGTTTTTATGTTCGGCTAGTCTGACTGCTCCTTTTCTACTAGTTTGACCTATGTATTTGACGTCACAATTATTGCAGATAAACTAAAATGTTTTGTTTTAATGGCTCCACAGGATCCTTTAACCGACAAAGCTTGTTTCTAATTGAATTTGTGGGTTTGAATGCCATTTTTATTCCTGCCTTGTTAAGTATTCTGCGTAAGGCTTCCAAGGTTCCTTCCTTGTATGGAATCACTGTTGATGATTTGGATTCCTTATTATTGGTGTTGTCATTAATATTATTATCATCATTATTATTGTTATCATTATTAATATTACCACTATCGCTACTATCATTATTTATTTTATTTTTACATTTACTTACATATTTCTTGACTAATTTATCCGGGTAATTATTAAGTTTCAAGGCTTCTTTTATGTGTATCTCTTAATGTCTTAGATTTTCCTTGGTACTACTTAGTTTTTGTGCTCTGTCATTTAAACATTTCACTAATCCTATTTTTACTGACATAGGATGGGATGATCGGAAGTCCAGATATCTGTTTCAATGTGTGGGTTTCCTGTAAACACTAGTGTTTAGCTTCCCATCTTCTTTCCTTTTTATGTTGCAATCTAACATTGGAAGTTCCCCTTCCTAACTTTCCAATTCATAAGTGAATTGAATTGCCTCTACCTTCGAGTTGATGTGCTCAAAAAATCTATCTATATCTTGTGTTCTAAGTACAGTGAATGTGTCATCTACATACCTCCACCATACTTTTGGGGTGGGGGTGAACGTTTCAATCTCAATCTCTTCCCACCCCTGTCCATGAATATATCTGCTACAACTGGGGATATTGGTGATCCCTTGGCAACTCCCTCAGTTTGTTTGTATATTTTCCCTTGGAATTTAAATACTGTAGAAGTCAGGCAAAGCTGCACTCCCAGCATTATGTCCTTAAGTGGCACTTTTGTCCTAAGTTCGACTTTTTGGTCAGAAATGAGTTCGTTTCTGACCACCTCTATAGCCTTATTTATTGGTATACGTGTTCGAAACGCCATCCAGTATACAATACTGTTTCACTCTCTGTGTGAGATATACATCTAATAAACAAACTAATATGGAATTACTTCCTACCACAGTGCCCAAGTTTTACACATATATTAGCAATATTGTGACAAATACTGAGAATTCCATTCTGTATTATAAGTAGTGCTGTTTTTGGAATAAGGTAGATTATTATTATTATTATATATCACTGCGTCATTTTTTAAGTGCGTCAGTGGCACAGAGGTAGGATCCTCGATAGCCACTCACGTCTTCAGATGTTCGATATCCGGCAGACGCCTATCCCCTACCTCACTTAGCTGGTGAAAAGCCTGGCAAAGAGGGGAGGTTGGGCGTGAGACTACCAGTCCCACCCCATAAAATTAAAACCACTGCCACCGAATTTCATAAGCTCGAGCTTGAAGCCCCTCGTATTCCTTTGGTAACGCCAAGGAATAGAAAAATTTTCAAAAAAATCACTTTGTAAATATTCTGTAACTGATAATGAAACATTCCTTTCCATCTCACGTTGTTTTGTATTCTCACTTAAGTAGTGTGTTTTGGAGAGATAGGTAGCCAGTGTATAGGATGGTCGAGTACTCTAGAAGTGCTATGTGGTCACCTCATCTGTGTCCATTTTTTGCATTTTAGATTACACCTTGGTTCCACACCGTATTTTTTGGTACAGGTATGGAGTTTTCAGCATGCGATATCGGTAGCCCAAATTTGCAGGCCTTTACCTCGCTAAGCCAGAAACAATGATAGTAAAGAGGAAAGGTTGGGCATGAGGCCAGAAACCCCATTCTGTAAAATAAACACTTCTACAGAAACTTCAAGCCACTAGCTTGAAGCCCCTATGTTCCACTGGGGAACGTGAAGGAAAAAAAAGGAAAAAAATTTGCAGGTCGACATTAGATATTAGATGTGCGTCGGAAGAGGATCGAACTCTGGACTATGTGCATGGTCGGCGAGAGTTCATATCAACATCGGCTTCTCTCTATTCAGCTCAACTCAATGACAGCTATAAAAATGAAGATATCATAACAATTTCAAGTGGGTGAATCGAATGTCACACATTTAAATATTTTAGCTTAAAGTATTTAGAAGACTTTGCACTTCTTGTCAACTAGTTCACCCAGGAATACAACATCATCCGCACACTCTAAGTCAATCCGTAATTTGCTAAACTCAGTTACGCTGGATCCCATCGATAGCACCTGTAGAGAACCTGTGGAATAGCATCTGTCTTCTTAATCCTTTACTGATAAAAAAAAACAATTTTATTCAGACAGCATTTTCCACATCAAAAACACTTCCAAATTTAAATAAAATTTTAAAACTTACTAGTTGTTGACGCTGATGGTGACGTTAAAGTTGTAGTGAAATCCCCTGTGTCAATATTTCCATTCACTGTAGGATCAAGCCAATATGTACATGAATATTCAGCCAGACGATTAGCACAATAAGTTAGCAAGTCTTTTTCAAAATAACCAGTTCTTAAAAATTGAAATAAACTCATATTCAGCCCTAGTGGTTTGTGTATTCTCATAGTATCTGGTGCCATATTCCCTCCACCAGATTTAACACGTGCACTTCCTCGAACCATTTTTGTTTTGTTTTTGGCTATTTAAATATGGAGTCCGTTGAAGTAATAATAATAATAATGTAATAATATATGAACTGTCCAATGATTCTATGAATTCATTATGACCGGTTAATGACGTTTAGAAATAAAAAGTAATACAATATTCCAGTATATTTAGTGATCTGCCAGCTCAATTCTCATTGGCTAATATCGTGTTTAAGTGGATCGATAGACAAACACATAGTCATTGTACGACGGACATATAGTTTAGTCAACTAACCAATCAAAACATTCTATTAAATACACAGGTTAGTTTGACATTAAAAACGATTTATACACTGAAAGTTCTGTGGATGAGAAATTTCTCCCAGAACAGGCTGGACTCAGAAATATCAAATGATATGCGGATCAAATTCCAACACTACGCATCATTATTGAACAGAGCATAGAATGGTAATTAGATCTGTACCTCAACTTCTTCTACTTGGAAAGGGAGACTTCGACAGAGTTGACCACGAGTGTCCGAAATCTTTATCAACCTCAGGAAACAGCTGGCTATATGACAATGCCAAATGTCAGGTGATCCACAGAGAAAAATACAGTGAAGCCTTCGTAATGAAGACAGGAGTGAAACAAGCTTACTGTCTATTATCATTGATGATATTCCTCGTTGTGATGGTATAGATCATGGGGCAAATCGTGAGCAGTGAGAAGACAGAAACATACTAGTTGGATAAGAAGACGCCAGAAGAGCTGGATTTCGCACGTGGATGATTTATGTCTAATGTCACACAGACTAGATGACTTACAGGTAACAAACCAACAAGTTGTCAGAAGAAGCGCCAAAGACAAAACTTAAACTTAATGTACAAAAAAAAGGAGGCGATGAAAATAGCCAACCAACAACAAGGAGTGCCAATAACCCCATAATAGATAAAAATTTTATTTTGATAAAGTCACACAGGGTGTTATACAGTAATATTGACTGATGAACACTTTCCGAGCACAAATTATTACTGCTCATAATCATATCAAGGCACTTACGCAAATTTCTCGCTTCATTTATATACATGAGTAAAAATTGATGATTAGACATTTGAACAAAATCAAAATAAGATAAATTACATTTTATTTGATTGCATGGAGGATTTAATCATGAGCTGACATCAGTTAGAGAACCACTGGAAAACCTGGGAGTACTGGACAGCCGTTTCGTCCTAGTTTGGGACTCCTCAGCAGTACGCACCCACCGGGATTCGACCAGTAGGGTACAGCAGGTCGAAGATGAGGCAGTAACTCATCGAAGAAGACATTGCGAAGTGGTCGCGCTATGTCGTGAACTGGCAGAAGTTAGAATTCAAGGACCATTGGATCGGGTCCCAGTGGCTCAATGGTCTACGAGCTCGCCTTGTAACCAGAAGGTCCTGGGTTCGAATCCCGGTGGGTGCGTACTGCTGAGGAGTCCCAAACTAGGACGAAACGGCTGTCCAGTACTCCCAGGTTTTCCAGTGGTTCTCTAACTGATGTCAGCTCATGATTAAATCCTCCATGCAATCAAACAAAATCCCTACAAAAACCAATACTTGAAAATTCATCTGATGCTCACTAGTGACTGGCCCTATTCAGGCAGTTAACCTGGGGTTCTAGTGGGAAGCCGTGACCAGTAGGGTACAGCAGGTCGAAGATGAGGCAGTAACTCATCGAAGAAGACATTGCGAAGTGGTCGCGCTATGTCGTGAACTGGCAGAAGTTAGAATTCAAGGACCATTGGATCGGGTCCCAGTGGCTCAATGGTCTACGAGCTCGCCTTGTAACCAGAAGGTCCTGGGTTCGAATCCCGGTGGGTGCGTACTGCTGAGGAGTCCCAAACTAGGACGAAACGGCTGTCCAGTACTCCCAGGTTTTCCAGTGGTTCTCTAACTGATGTCAGCTCATGATTAAATCCTCCATGCAATCAAACAAAATCCCTACAAAAACCAATACATTTTATTTATTTTTATTTTATTTTTGATTACAGCTTGATTCCATACAGTATTTTTGGTACAAGTATGGAATTTTCAGCATGGATATCGGATATTCTTCTCACATGCATAAATAGTCATGTCGACCCAAGAGAATTCATTATGGAAATAGAGAATGAAAAATTGGGAGACTGGCTATGTTAGAGTGCAAAATACAAAGAGTAACAGATGACAGCATAAAAACGACGCTATACAGAAAAACTTCACATTCTGGGAGATTCCTTGATTATCGTCACTCAATTCATCCACCCACGACAAAATGACGGTAAAAACAAGGTCTTGCAGATAGAATACGTAGACTTACAACAACACCAGAGGATCAGTGTAAAGAAATAAAAGTCCTATTCAAAATGCTACTCGAAAACAACTACCCTAGAGAATTTATAAAAGATAATATAAAAAAGAGAAAAAAAGTGGGTAAAACTGGAGAATAACAAGATGGAAGAATGGAAAAATAAACAATGACAATACCATACATAAATGGCACATCAGAGGCAATACAAAGAAACCTCAAAAATATCGGCATTCGAACAACGTTTAAATCGATGAATCCAATCAAAAATAAAATAAATCAACTAAAAGTTCCAATAAAAATGATGAATAAAAATAGTAATGTGATTTACAAACAGATATCTTGTGCCGAGTGTCCGACGAAATATGCGGGTCAAACACGTCCAGATCACTCAATATACGAGTGAATGAAGATAAACACCTGCCTAACTATAGGTCAACCAACAGGAAGGAAGGAAGGAACACAAGCTTACAAGAATTTAGAAAAAAAACCACTCGTCTATAGCTGCACATGCAGCATGGGACAAAACCCACAATATCGATTGGAACAATCTTTGTATTCTAAAAACTAATATGAACAAATGGAAAGACAATTGGTGGATGGTGGCTAGCCGTGGCGCTTTGGCGTTTGAAACTATGGGTACTGGGTTCGAGCCTCGGTGGGGACATCATCACTCACTGAGAAATGCAGGTACATCCAGTTGACGAGTCCCAAATAGGACGAAATGCGCCTTATCCTGGATTCCACTGCTAGCCGCCATCCACCAATTGTATACTAATTAAATACCCAGACATCGTCGAAGCATCTGCACAAGAAGCCGACATGTCAGCCTGAGAGCGAGCACTTTGGTCCAATCAATCGACGGGAAAATCAAAAATTCAATTCAATAAATGGAAAGACAGACTACTAATAATAGAATCTATATCCATTAAGGTCACACCGGATACATTTAACAAGGGTGACTAAGCAGCACAACTGTCAACAACCTGGAATATATAAAAATGAACTATGTATATGAGTACAAATCATGGAGGTGTGAATTTAAAAAAAAAACAACTCCAATACAGTTGGTGTGATCACGGGCAGTAATTTTGCTCGAAATATTACCCAAAAACACACAAAAAAACTTATCATTGTGTGTAAACTATTGAAAAATATAATTTTACTTTATTTGGTCTATTCCATAATCCTCAAACTTTTTACTGACATTAATGATGATGAGGAGACCCTAAAACCTGTAAGAAACACTCTGGACAAATTTAAACCATCAGGCTCATCAGTCCGCTCCGTCCTCCTTTATGGCTAGTTGTGAGACCTGGCCACTGAGAGTGGAATGCATTACTGATATAAGTTTCAAACTTGGGCACTGTGGTACAGTATAACTCCATTATGGATAAGATTTTATTTTGATAAAATGACACACAGTGTTGTACAGTGCAGTAATATTAACTGATAACCACGTTCCGAGCACAAACGATTGTCACTCATAACCATATCAAGCCACTCACACAACTCGTTTCCTTCATTTATATACATGTATGTGTGGAACTGATTAGATATTTGAATAAAAATCAATATGGGATAATGTACATTCAGAAATAATAATAATACGAGTGCTATTATTCAATTACAATTAGATGGGAAATAAGACGAGTGTTTCTATAGTCATAATAAGTAAATTGTCAGCATCGCATCCGTTAACTGTTAAGGCAGGCTTACTTAAGTGTTTAACAAACCGTGCAGTAGCACTAGGCAGAAGAAGAAAAGACCTAAATGATGAAATAAAACAGATAGAAGAAGCGTTGGTGTTGAATAACTATCCTATAAAATTCATTGGGAAGATCAGTAAAGACCAAAAACAAAGTGAAAATAATTGTGGAACTAGTAATGATAACATAAGTAAGAGAGAATATAAGGCATTCACTGTTATATCATATAAGAAGGGGACATCTGAGACCCTGAGACGTAGGATTCTTAATGGAGAAGGAGTTAGGATGGCTGCATTCAAACCTAACAACTCACTGAGGTAGGACAAGGTCTGTAGGCTTAAAGACCCAGTGGACCTAATTATGCAAAATAAAATAATTTACAAAATACCCCTCAATGACTATGAGGTAAACTATATAGGTCAAAATAGTAGATCGGGGTAGTCAGATCGTCGGAACATGAGAATTTAACTAAGGTAAGAATGGTTGACCCCGAGAAGATAAGTAATTTAGAAAAAAGCTCAGCAACCGCACTTCATGTATGCATTAACATACAACCACACAAGAGCGTGGGTGGGAGAGGGTTAAGATTCTAAGAAGTAATCTATATAGGTGGAGAGGGAGATTGATTACTGAATCCTGGCTGGTTCATCGAGTCTAGAGCCAACACATGCAACAGAAATGACTCAATGCAAATACCAGAGATATGCATGGAAGATATTATTACCACCAGTCAGTCAAATCCGAAGAGGATAGTAAATAATCTTAATGTGTATTCTATTTCAATTCAAACACATCACAACATTCTAACAAGTTACTTATTTTGACTATAAAAACACTCATCTTATTTCCCATCTGACTGTAATTGATCAATAGCAGTCGTATTACTCTTTCCGAATGGGATAATCCATATCAACTTATTGCGATGTTTTCTTTATCATGTATATCAAGCTGAATCATCAAAGTACTCACCTAGTAACCATGGGAACCAATGACTGCTGG